GCGCGTGGCCCGATGAATTCGACGCGGCAGTGGCAGCGCGTCCAATCGCGGCCGCGTTTCCGCGAAGTGCAGATAGCAAGCTCACGCGTGACGTTGCCTTGGCCGCCGCTGTCCAGGCGGGCCCAGCGGGCAAGTCGATGTGTCAGTGGGGTGCAGAGGCGTTGGTTTCATTCGACATTGTCTTCGGCCGCGTGGTGGTCGAGTTGTTTCCAGCTCTTTGCCGCGGCCGCCGATGGGGCCCTGGTGTTGAACATCCTGGCTTGCTCGTGGCGCCAGAAGGCCATGCAGGTGCGCCTGCCGCGAAGCGGTTGCGGCGGGGTGCGGGGCGTCTCCCGCTACTGCGCCGCGCGGACAACCCCGGGCTGTTCGCGACTTCGGCCCGGGAGCTCTTGTTTATTTCAGAGGCGCGGCGCAATTTATTGCGGCGGTGGGGCCATGCAGTGGCGGCGGCAGAAAATTATCGAGCAGTTCTTGCGTCGACAGCGACGTGGTTGTGATCCAGGACAGGTGTCCAGACCTGGTGCCGACGCGGGGGGCGCGGAAAAGGCGACGTTCGCGGTCCTGGAGGATGAAGGCCGGGCGATGCCGCCGGAATTCTTGGCGCGCAGATGGCGATGGGCGGTGGCGCGACGGGCGAGTAGAACGCGTGCTTTCTTGGGCATGGGCGACTCTCCATGTCCATTTCAATTTGTTGACTTCCGCGGCCGATTCGTTGCGGCGGAGTCTCGAGACAGTGCGGCGTCTGATTCTGCCGAGTTTGTTGCGCGGCGTGGGCGCGCTGGATTCGGCCTAGATGCGCTTGCCGCGTATCTGGGCCGCGGGGGGCCGCGCGATGAGGTTCGAACCGGAGACTGACGACGGCGCTGACGATGGCGCAGCGATCGCCGGCCTCTTGCTGAAGCACTAAATGTGCGTGGTGCGGATGGGCCCGGAGGGGCGAAGAGACTCTGGGTCGAGATTGGGCAGGGCGCGTCTCGCGATCAGCGCGTGGGCGGCCCGCCGTCTGGCAGTGAAGGCGCCCCTTTTTTTCCAGGCGCGCGGTGCTTCCGCGCGTCGCGGACCATTGTCGGGTCGCAGTGCCACGGCAGGAAGTTCAAGGCATGGCGATGGAAATCGTAGTTCGCACGACAGTTTGGCACGAATTGGATGGGGCCTGCAGTGAATGAGGAAACGTGGGGGGATGGCCGTCTGACTTGGGTGAGCGGGTAACGAAATTATAACAAGTTTTTACAAACATCAGGGATTTATTTACTGAGGGCACGCCGCATCCGCGCGCTACGCGCCTTTGCCAAGATGCGTCAAAGGTAAAAATCGTCGTCGTCGTCGCTGGCGCCGAGGTCGTCGTCGTCGTCGCCGTCGTCGACGTCGTCGTCTTCGTCGTCGTCGCACTCGTCGCCGTTCGGTGCGGTCGGAACCTAGGCCACGCGGGGGAGCGCGAATATAAACGCGCTTCGCCCGTCGCAGTCTGGGCCAGGGCGGTTGTCTTTCTTCAATGGGGGTGGCGCCAGGGCGCGATGGCTCAAACATCATCGCGCGTCGCGCACTGAGGGGCGCGATGCGCCAAGCTAGGCGACCTAGGACATGTGTGCGGACAGATGGGGACGAACACGCAGCACTTTTTGTCTTTTTGAACACGGCTCGTTGTTGGTGCCGCCGCGGGCGTTGTCGATATGAGACAAGTATTGCTTGCCCAGTGGTGGCCGCTTTCGGTTTTGAGCAGCGTTTGCTGTTGGGTGTCGTGCCGATTTGTGATGTGTCCATGTCGGGCGTTGACTGTCATCGTCGGCGATGTCGGCGGCTACACGTCGGAGTTTTTGTCGGGTTCGCTGGTTCCTGATGGTTCCCCTGTCCCGGGGTGCGTTCTCCAGCAGCTACGCATCGTCGAGCAAGTTTTGGGGGTTCCAGAACCGTTCCGAAATGCCGCCGGACTTGCGAGTTATGCCGCGAAATCCGCGTGACATTCAGATATTTGGCGTCGCGAACAGTACCGCGATGGCAGTTTTGTTTCAACGGCTTTGACGTTTGAGAAACCGCTTCTGTGTCCCAGTGCCGTCAAGCGTCGATTTCAGGGTGGACGGCCAGTTCCCTGGAAAACATCGCCCCCCCCCCCCCCCAGGGCCCACGTCTCGGACAACAAACATATCCACAGGAGGAGGAGGAGGAGGAGGAGGAGGAGGAGGAGGAGGAGGAGGAGAGAGAGGAGAGGAGGAGGGAGAGGAGGAGGAGGAGGACGAGGATGAGAGGATGAGGAGGAGGAGGAGGAGGAGGAAGAGGAGGAGGAGGAGGAGGAGGAGGAGGAGGAGGAGGAGGAGGACGAGGAGGACGAGGAGGAGGATGATCAAGGGACCGCCCTGCATCCGTGTAGATCTTGCGCACTGTGTGCAACTTTTTGTGATGCCATCGCAAGAAGTTCCAGGCGAAAATCCATGGTTGAAAAGGAACTGTTCTCCATCCGTTTGTTGTTGCACACATCCCAAGTAGATGTTGTCATGTGCTTGGG